TATCTATGGTCCTGATCTCCATCCTCTAACCCCTGTCCCTCACTCTTCTCCCTCCCTTACACCACTATCAAAGGTCCTGAACCCCCTCCTCTAACCCCTGCCCCACACTCTTCTCTCTCCCTTACACCACAATCTACGGTCCTGAACCCCCTCCTCTAACCCCTGCCCCTCACTCTTCCCCCTCCCTTACACCACTATCTATGGTCCTGATCTCCATCCTCTAACCCCTGTCCCTCACTCTTCTCCCTCCCTTACACCACTATCAAAGGTCCTGAACCCCCTCCTCTAACCCCTGCCCCACACTCTTCTCTCTCCCTTACACCACAATCTACGGTCCTGAACCCCCTCCTCTAACCCCTGTCCCTCACTTTTCTCCCTCCCTTACACCATTATCTACGGTCCTGAACCCCCTTCTCTAACCCCTGTCCCTCACTCTTCTCCCTCCCTTACACCATTATCTACGGTCCTGATGGACCCCATCCCTTAACCCCTGCAACACACTCCTCTCCCTTCTTTACACCACTATCTATGGTCCTGATGGACCCCATCCCCTAACCCCTGCCCCACACTCCTCTCCCTCCCTTACACCACTATCTACGGTACGGCCCTGATCCCCCTCCCCTAACCCCTCCCCCTATCTATGTTCCTAACCCTGCCTTACACCATCACTTAGAGTACTACAAACACTGTGACCCATAGAAATATTATCCATGTCAGTCTGAATATTCCATCAAATCCATGCCTTGAAACATAATTTCATACATCATTGATATAAATTTTGAAAATTCTCCTCCCTAACTCTATATAATGCTATCAGCTCCCATCCTTATCCACTCCGAGGTCATTCCGTTCTCCGGCTTATTGAGGAGACTTAGGTCTACTGCACATATAGAAACAATTAAGCTATGTAATTAAATAATCCTGATACGTGTATAATTGTACTGTAAAAGATTATTTTGTCAGATTAAAGCTTTAAATATAGTATATCTCTAACTGCAGGTATAGAAAGTATTCCTGACCTGGAAGTATAGTTCCAGGGGCCTGAGTGGAGCTTCACAGTCATCTTATTTTAAAGAGTTGAAACATGTTTCATAGGTACCGTGTTTAATGCTGAAATCCTGGATTTTGGATTACCAAGTAACGTGACTTCGAATAAATGCCAAACCCTAATATTTCCAATCTATTGAGCCCCATCTCTCCGCCTCATTTGGGCCACACCCCTCCCTTACACTACATTCGATTCCTTGGTCCAAAGGACACTTCCTTATATACCCAAATTCCCTGATAGAATTTGATAAATTTTAAAAAAGCAAAATGATTGATACACAGTTATTGTGTAACACCTTTTGAGATGGCTGCATATAGTCACCAAGGTTGTTCATGGTCATTCCTATCAAATTTCAATTCTTCGAGGTAACAACACTTTTCATTGGCAAATACTCATGTATTATTTTCCAACAGACTAATGATCTTGTGAAAACTTCCCGTACACGTGTTAACAAGAGAGCAGTACAGGGGCTGGGTTCCTTTGTTGTAGGAGTGTTTCCAAGCAGACAAACAAAACTGTTTCAATCTTACTTCTGGAGCTACTTTAAACCTGTAAAGCCCACATTCAGAATGTTCTACTAAACTTACGGAATTTATCCAGGTTAAATAGACAAAATAGGACAACTGCCCACAGGGTCAAATATACTGTTAAAAAGAATCATACAGCTTTTTTTTAAATGAAGCAATATTGGCATCACATGACAAATTTTAGCACGCCTAACTTTAATAATCAGATTATCTAGGTCACCTTGCTTATCGTATGCGTAGGGACACTGAGGTAGCCACAAAAGGTTCTCATTACATTTTATTTGGTAGAGTAGATATAATCTACATATGTTTGTATATTAAGGTGGATTTCATATATAACTCCAGATTCAAAAATGTTTTTCTCACCCTTATGAGTCATATCAATCATAATACATACACATACATTGACTATTTCTTAAATAAACAGAGTAGAACAAACCTCAGGAGAACACAGAAATGTAGATTTAAGATAGACCAGAAAGCTTAGATAAACAATTTGGATAGCATCATCTCAGGATCCTTCCTTGAAACTCTCATAAATGGAATTTGAGAAATGATTGCCTCATAATGACATTTCGGTAATATGTTTCAAGATGGCTGCCAATGCCTCCATATTGAATTTCAATTCAACTCAAAAAGTAACAACATTTCATAGACTATCTTTCAAGGTCATCCCTACCAAGTTCTAGTTAAACTAGACCAGCAGAACATGAGAAGAAGTGTTTTGTACAGATGGCCACCATGTCGACCATATTTGATTTTGGATCTACCAAAAAAACAAACACTTGGCCAGCATGATCTCAGAAACATTCCTAGCAAGTATTGAATAAGTGAAATTGAAGAAGAGCACACACTGCACATGATGACGCATGGTGCATGACAACAGATAATCAGGGGCTGAGAAAAACTTTTTAAAGTACTCATCTGTCGGGAAAGTGACCTTCAAGAATGTACTCGTCCAGATTGCAAGTACATTTGCCCTATCAAATATTATCACTGAATTTTAGAATGTTTAATATAATCTTGAACTGCATAAATAAGGAAACAGATCAGATTCAGGTGCATCAAAATAAGAAATTTAACATTATATAGATTATGATACGTCAGTGCTTATCTGTCATCATAAGAACTGCCGACATTGGTGATTGATGAGAATCCTATTGGTACCTGGTAGATAAGGTAAGTAGGATGTTTTGGAACTTTTTCATAACGATGTAAAATGACAAATCATCTTAAAACATAAAATCACTGATAGGTTGAAACCTTAGTCTAATTGTCAAAATAGTTTTTATTAACGTATCCGAATGACGTTTTGGAAGTACTGAAGATTTCGGTGACGAAACGACCGAGGATATGTGAACCGATACGTCTAGATCTGTACCTCATGATGGATCAGCGGTTAAACTCAAAGTTACATTGCAAATACGTTTTGAATTTCTATGTTATAAGTAACTACAAATTATCACAAACTAACAGTACTGACTTTCATCTGAAAACTCCGTTTATTCACCCTGTTTTATCTAACTTTTATGGCATACTTTACACCTACAGAAAAGAAGCGGCTAATTTTTTTGCATCATTTTCATTTTAGGCTCTTCTGCCTTTATCATAACAAATCGACAGGCCTATGACCTGGGAGGATTTTGTATATTTTCATAGAAGGTGCAGCTTTATTAAGTACATGCACTGAGCTTATAAATGTAATTATTGAAAACAGAAATGGATCATTTGCATACAATACAATAAGGCTATCTCTGTATCATTTTTTTCACTTGTGCGACAGACAAGTAGCAATATAAAATTGACTTGCCCAACAGGGAAATCCAGTAGTCTTGACGAACAGACGAGTGATTTCCCGCTCCTGGGCAATATGTAATGGCTACAGGTCATCATTACTCTTCAGCCAGGTAACCAAAAATGTTGCTTTAGGAATTTGTTTTATTTTTCAAACATATTTCAGTTGATTACTTTTTTAAACAAAAAGATGTTTGAAGTATGCAATTTATTGAAACAGATTTGGTTAGATTTGATTTGTACAAACCGGAATTGTCTGCCCTTGGTGTTGGCATGGCAATAATTGCTGTACACATTCTGGACAACAGTCATCTGATGGAATCTGCAGATATTCACCCTGAAAGAAAAACATAACATTTTAACAATTGTCAATCAGTATGTACCAAACAATATACATAGTCAATCACAACACTAACTAGTTGCTACAACTTCATCACACATCAAAGTAGGCTATTTAATGGTTCACTATTATCATTAGAATACTACTGAAGCTATTTTTAATCTGATTAATACTTTTTTAAAGTTCAAACGGATCAGTGATCCATGCTCACAGAAACAGGGCGGTGTTAGTCCTCCTGTCTCCTGGCTATTGTTTTGTTGTGGGTAGAAATTAATGACATGTGAAGATTCTGGTATGTTATCATGCATAGCAAGTGGTATTGGTTGGTGACCTGAAGTTAAACACTAAGTAATCATACTGATCATCAACCAAACACACACCACCCGTTATCACGTGTGAATATGTATAAAACACATCTTCTGCCCCAAACATATTTAATTTTGGAGACAGAAAAAAAAGAGATTCAGGCGATGGACACCAGGTCATTGTTCTGTGAGCAGATAAAACTGTAACCATAGCTCATCTGATAATCTCGGTTGCCAAGTTAACGCCCCATTTCACTGCGGCTATTATTTGCGAGCTTTTGATCAATGTTTGTGGCAGCTAGAGGTGTGAAATTGTTACCTGGTCACATCTAACTCGCCATTGGCCAGAATTTATTATCATTATCATGTCATGTGACACTGATTTATTCAAACAACAAAACGACAATGACCTTTCTATTATCGTGGTGTGGTATGGATTTCTTAAAGTTTGAAAATTTGTTTAATTTTTAAAAGTCCATTGAGTTATTATCAAAACAACTTAAATACTAGAATTTCTCTGGGTCACAAGAGTTATTTATTAATGAGATAAACATGTAGATGTTGATTAAAGACTGATGAAGTGTTCAGTGCTGGTGACCTCTCCCTGAGAATCTGTTAGCTTCACCTACAGGTTCAGAAATTTGACAGCAAAATATGTCTAGGGCAATTGTTTTCTAAAATTTATCTTCAGAGATAGCATTTTCTGTCATAAAGAATATTTCCTCATGTCCTAAATGTGTATTGCCGAAAGGACATACCAACATTATGAGGCCATATACCTGGACTGGAAAAAAAATAAGATGATAGGCAATTTATTTTTGTAGAATGATACCACCAAAGAGAAGTTAAGAACTTCCATTCACAGACAGGGGACTGACCTCCTGATTCTAGGATAACCCCTAACTTTGTTGTAGGGGGTCGGGGTATAGAAAGTTTTAATATGTATTTTTATTTATATATGAACATTGCATCTTAGATGCATAAAATGTACCTCTTAAATAGCATGTCAAAGGTCTGACAACCCTGACTAAATCTGCTTGTTTATTATAGTTATTTATTTGCCTATTACGCTGTTTTCCCCATCACCATTGAGTCCCAACAAAAGAAACCCCTTTCCCTCCACTCTATGTGTGGTCATTCATTTACTAAATGAATATTAATGCTGTACCCTTTGTCAATAAACCGAATTAAACTTCTGTGTAACTGTATAGTTTTCTGTCAGGTGTGTTTTATCTTGCATTTGCATCAAAGTGGATCGTCCCCTGAATTGTAATTGTCAATTTGCAGCCTAAAACAGGTGTAAATCAGTTGTAAGTAAGCACCAGGTAATGTATTCCCGGTCAGCCCCCGGTCAGCCCAGAACAAACCAATTCTATATCTGACACTCCTGATTCCCAGGCATATCTTCATGTCAGCAGTAAATACTCGGTGAAACATTTTATATGGTCATAGGCAGCCCTTATTATAAACTAATGAATTAAAACAAAACAAAGTTGAACCAGTACAAACAGGTAAAATATGATAAAAAGAATTAACATAATATTTTTACTTGTTTTTAAATCATTACATAATAAAGATATTCTAGTTTTATAATCCTTATATCTTTCTTATTCCAAACTTAAACAGGCAATTAATGCATGGCATTATATATATAACATGGCAATACAAAGTGTTTGGGGTCATGAAAAATCATTATCTAGGTTAGAGGTCAAACATGTATCAAAAGAATACATATCATGAAATTCAGTCTGGTTTAAAAACTAACACTATTTAACATGTTTTCAATAGGAACATGTTGGCTACAGGATAGCTCAGAAAACCACAGCATTTACAACAAGGCAATCTACTGACTGGCTTATAAACTATCACCTAGTACCACAGTTCACTGAAGGAATATAATCTACCTCTAAAGTAACAAGGCAATCTACTGACTGTCTATAAACTATCACCTAGTACCACAGTTCACTGAATGGATATAATCTACCTGTAAAGTAACAAGGCAATCTACTGACTGGCTTATAAACTATCACCTTGTACCACAGTTCACTGAAGGGATATAATCTACCTGTACAGTAACAAGGCAATCTACTGACTGGCTTATAAACTATCAACTAGTACCACAGTTCACTGAAGGAATATAATCTACCTGTAAAGTAAAAAGGCAATCTACTGACTGTCTATAAACTATCACCTAGTACCACAGTTCACTGAATGGATATAATCTACCTGTAAAGTAACAAGGCAATCTACTGACTGGCTTATAAACTATCACATAATACCACAGTTCACTGAAGGAATATAATCTACCTGTAAAGTAACAAGGCAATCTACTGACTGGATTATAAACTATCACCTAGTACCACAGTTCACTGAATGGATATAATCTACCTGTAAAGTAACAAGGCAATCTACTGACTGTCTATACACTATCACATAGTAACACAGTTCACTGAAGGAATATAATCTACCTGTAAAGGAACAAGGCAATCTACTGACTGGCTTATAAACTATCAACTAGTACCACAGTTCACTGAAGGAATATAATCTACCTCTAAAGTAACAAGGCAATCTACTGACTGTCTATAAACTATCACCTAGTACCACAGTTCACTGAATGGATATAATCTACCTGTAAAGTAACAAGGCAATCTACTGACTGGATTATAAACTATCACCTAGTACCACAGTTCACTGAAGGAATATAATCTACCTGTAAAGGAACAAGGCAATCTACTGACTGGCTTATAAACTATCACCTAGTACCACAGTTTACTGAAGGGATATAATCTACCTGTAAAGTAACAAGGCAATCTACTGACTGTCTTATAAACTATCACATAATTAATACCACAGTTCACTGAAGGGATATAACCTACCTGTAAAGAAACAAGGCAATCTACTGACTGGCTTATAAACTATCACATAGTATCACAGTTCACTGAAGGGATATAATCTACCTGTACAGTAACAAGGCAATCTACTGACTGGCTTATAAACTATCAACTAGTACCACAGTTCACTGAAGGAATATAATCTACCTGTAAAGTAACGAGATCTTTACAACACTTGACCTATATTCATATAAAAAATCTACTTTTCATCTGAGATACTGTATCAGATGATATCTAGGATATATCCAAAGGGAGACAATCTTGTATGTCATCCGTGATTCACGAGTCATACACATTACCCATTTAGAGACATCTTTCTCAGTAATAATTAATCAAGGGACCCGAGAGGACAATTAATGTTGGTACCCCATTGACATTTATCTTTGATTAGCATAAACTACTCTTAAAATGACACGAATATATCCAAGAGCAGATAACTCTACAGCAATACCACAATAAAACTGTCAGAAATTGTTCCATTAATTCGCAGAAATTTACAAGACATGACCACAAATTGAGCCAGGTAAGATTTCATTAGAAATGTTTCATATTACAATCAACAGTAAATAACTCACACAGCGTGACCGAGTTACCCTAAGGGCGGATAACTCCGACCCATAAACGACAGCATAATAAATAACAGGAATATAATCACCTGTATTTAGCAGTTATTTGCATAATTAAGGTAGCTTCTGTACTAACAAGACTTGTAGCGAGGTTCATTACCGCTAGAAACTGGACAAGGGGTGTCAACTCGCTAGAATGTATAGGATGTAGATGTAGAACTGCTTGGGAAGACAGTTTACATTATTACATATGAGTGTGTAAGGGCGAGGGACGTGACCCATGGAACATTTGTCACCTGTGTCCTGTTGAGGGGGGTGAGCTCAAGGATAGGGATCTGTCTATCCAGGTACGTAGAGTTATACCTGGTCAGGTGTCTATCTAGGCACACATAGTAACCTGGTCAGGTGACTATCTAGGTACACAGAGTTACCTGGTCAGGTGTCTATCTAGGTACATAGAGGTACCTGGTCAGGAGTCTACCTAGGTACATAGAGTTATACCTGGTTAGGTGTCTTTCTAGGTACATAGAGTTACCTGGTCAGGTGTCTATCCAGGTTCACAGAGTTTACTGGTCGGGTTTCTATCTTGGTACACAAGAGTTACCTGGTCAGGTGGCTATCTAGGTATACAAGAGTTACCTGGTTAAGTGTTTATTAAGATATACAAGAGTTACCTGGTCAGGTGTCTATCAAGATATACAAGAGTTACCTGGTCAGGTGTCTATCAAGAGATACAAGAGTTACCTGGTCAGGTGTCTATCCGGGTTCACAGAGTTTACTGGTCGGGTTTCTATCTTGGTACACAAGAGTTACCTGGTCAGGTGGCTATCTAGGTATACAAGAGTTACCTGGTCAGGTGTCTATCGAGATATACAAGAGTTACCTGGTCAGGTGTCTATCCAGGTTCACAGAGTTACCTGGTCAGGTGTCTATCGAGATATACAAGAGTTACCTGGTCAGGTGTCTATCAAGAGATACAAGAGTTACCTGGTCAGGTGTCTATCAAGAGATACAAGAGTTACCTGGTCAGGTGTCTATCCGGGTTCACAGAGTTTACTGGTCGGGTGTCTATCTTGGTACACAAGAGTTACCTGGTCAGGTGTCTATCCGGGTTCACAGAGTTTACTGGTCGGGTGTCTATCTTGGTACACAAGAGTTACCTGGTCAGGTGGCTATCTAGGTATACAAGAGTTACCTGGTTAAGTGTTTATTAAGATATACAAGAGTTACCTGGTCAGGTGTCTATCAAGAGATACAAGAGTTACCTGGTCAGGTGTCTATCCAGGTTCACAGAGTTTACTGGTCGGGTGTCTATCTTGGTACACAAGAGTTACCTGGTCAGGTGGCTATCTAGGTATACAAGAGTTACCTGGTCAGGTGTCTATCCAGGTTCACAGAGTTTACTGGTCGGGTTTCTATCTTGGTACACAAGAGTTACCTGGTCAGGTGGCTATCTAGGTATACAAGAGTTACCTGGTCAGGTGTCTATCCAGGTTCACAGAGTTTACTGGTCGGGTTTCTATCTTGGTACACAAGAGTTACCTGGTCAGGTGTCTATCTGGGTACATAGAGTTATCTAGTCAAGAGTTTATCTAGGTACATATAGTAGCCTGGTCAGGTGGCTATCTAGGTATACAAGAGTTACCTGGTTAAGTGTTTATTAAGATATACAAGAGTTACCTGGTCAGGTGTCTATCTGGGTACATAGAGTTATCTAGTCAAGAGTTTATCTAGGTACATATAGTAGCCTGGTCAGGTGGCTATCTAGGTATACAAGAGTTACCTGGTCAGGTGTCTATCGAGATATACAAGAGTTACCTGGTCAGGTGTCTATCAAGATATACAAGAGTTACCTGGTCAGGTGTCTATCGAGATATACAAGAGTTACCTGGTCAGGTGTCTATCTGGGTACATAGAGTTATCTAGTCAAGAGTCTATCTAGGTACATATAGTAGCCTGGTCAGGTGGCTATCTAGGTATACAAGAGTTACCTGGTCAGGTGTCTATCTAGGAACCTAGAGCTACCTGGCCAGGTGTCTATCTAGGTACACAGCGTTACCTGGTCAGGTTTCAAATATCAATAAGATATGTTTCCTAACCCCTTTGTGATTATCTGACAGCTAGTCTATTTTCTTCTCTACAGTCAACAATTTAAACAGTTTTTTACCTGCTCTTGTATATATTTACATGATATTCTAGCTAGAGATGTTGCTTCATATAGCCAATCCTTTGTATCTATCTCTATAACCAAATATCCAGCAATTTTCCACCATTATTTTTAACTCTTCATGTACATCAAACGAAAACTCTTTTTTTTTTAGTAAAAACTTAAACCTTTTGCATTTTACAACCATCAAAAGAACAGGAATATGTTGGGGTCTGTTTCAACCAAAGGGGCTTGTAATAAACCTAAACAGCTTATATTATAGATTTATGATGAAAAAACTGCCTCTCATAGTACATACTCTACAGTAAGGGAATTACTGACCCCCCTAGATCTATGGGTATCTGACACTTATAGTACATACTAAACAGAAAGGGACTTACTGACATTCCATAGATCTATGGTTATCTGACAGAGCACATACTATACAGTAAGGGACTTACTGACATCCCATAGATCTATGGGTATCTGAGAGAGTACATACTATACAGTAAGGGACTTACTGGCATCCCATAGATCTATCGGTATCTGACACTTATAGTACATACTCTACATTAAGGCACTTACTTACACCCCATAGATCTATGGGGATCTGACAGAGTACATATTCTACAGTAAGGGGCTTACTGACACCCCATAGATCTATGGATATCTGACAGAGTACATACTATACAGTAAGGGACTTACTGGCATCCCATAGATCTATCGGTATCTGACACTTATAGTACATACTCTACATTAAGGCACTTACTTACACCCCATAGATCTATGGGGATCTGACAGAGTACATATTCTACAGTAAGGGGCTTACTGACACCCCATAGATCTATGGGTATCTGACAGAGTACACATTCTACAGTAAGGGGCTTACTGACACCCCATAGATCTATGGATATCTGACAGAGTACATACTATACAGTAAGGGACTTACTGACATCCCATAGATATATGGGTATCTGACAGAGTACATACTCTACAGTAAGGGGCTTACTGACACCCCATAGATCTATGGGTATCTGGCACTCCAGGTATCTGACAAGAGCATACACAGCAAAATTCAATATTAAAAGTGGCATGTAAATAAAAACTATTAGGGTGAACCATTAAGACATAAATATACAAACCCATACAAACCCAGGCTGAACAATTAAGACATAAATATACAAACTCATACAAACCTAGGCTGAACCATTAAGACATAAATATACAAACCCATGCAAACCTAGGGTGAAGCATTAAGACATAGACATATAGACCTATACATTCCTAGGGTGAAGCATTAAGACAACATATATAGACCTATACATACCTTGGGTGAAGCATTAAGACAAAGACATACAGCCCTATACATACCTAGGGTGAATCATTAAGACATAGACATATAGGCCTATACATACCTAGGGTGAATCATTAAGACATAGACATATAGGCCTATACATACCTAGGGTGAATCATTAAGACATAGACATATAGGCCTATACATACCTAGGGTGAGGCATTAAGACAACATATATAGACATATACATACCTAGGGTGAAACATTAAGACATAGACATATAGACCTATACATACCTAGGGTGAAGCATTAAGACAACATATATAGACATATACATACCTAGTGGGAATCACTTGTGGACATAAAAACATTGATAACTTATGGGAACCAATAGAGGACACAAATAGATCAACTTGTACCTACCTTGGAGAACCTGCACTTTGGGGTGGTGCACCTGACTCGTTCACAGACTGTGATAGGATCCTGACACGTACAGATGGTACAGTCATCAGGCAGCCATAACGTGTGGTTCTGTAATGTACAAACAATAAATTCAGATTCCATCAAGAGGGATCTGTAATAGGTACCATATCATGTTATATTTCTATGTAATTCCATCAGGAGGGATCTGTTATAGGTACCATATAATGTTATATTTCTATGTAATTCCATCAGGAGGGATCTGTTGTGGATGAATTGCTGATGTTAATACCCCATTCACACATTGACACTGCTTCTACGACAATGGAAAAGTGGCCAAGTGCATGACCAATCGGGGCCAATACTGGGCCAAACGTTGGAGGATCTACACGAGCGTGGATTGGTTGGGGTGGGATCTCCTATGTCAGGAGGCTGCAGGCTCTCCCCACGCTTATTTTGAGCGTGCACAAAATTTAAAAACTGGACCTTGCCTGGACCTTATCTGGACCTTGCCTGGACTGACTGAGACTACCATCTCATCGTGGTGAGATCTCTGTGGTTGTAATAAAAACGCAGCACCGTCGGCAACTATTTCGAGCTGTTTTAATTACGCTTTTACCATGCTCCCACTACGCTCCCTCTATGCTCAAGACAATCTAGAAACGTACTAGAGGCATAATATGGTGAGCACCAGCGTAGCGACATCATCCTATAGCGACATCGCCCTACAGTCTTCTATGTCTGTGTAACAACGTAGTATGGTCCTGTACGTCGTAGCGGCAACGTAGTAGATACGACCGCTTGGTCGGCATTGGTCTAGGTGTAATCGTAGTGGCAACATAGTAGAAACGACCGCTTGGTCGGCATTGGTCTAGGTGTAATCATAGTGGCAACGTAGTAGAAACGACCGCTTGGTCGGCATTGGTCTAGGTGTACTCGTAGTGGCAACGTAGTAGAAACGACCGCCTGGTCAGCATTAGTCTAGGTGTAATCGTAGTGGCAACGTAGCAGAAACGACCGCTTGGTCAGCATTAGTCTCGGTGTAATCGTAGTGGCAACGTAGTGGAAACGACCGCTTGGTCAGCATTAGTCTAGGTGTAATCGTAGTGGCAACGTAGTGGAAACGACCGCTTGGTCAGCATTAGTCTCGGTGTAATCGTAGTGGCAACGTAGTAGAAAGGACCGCTTGGTCAGCATTAGTCTAGGTGTAATCGTAGTGGCAATTCGATAATTTTTTTAAGATCAGGGATAATCGGCATGGTCTTTGTAAGCTGTGTGAACGGGCTATAAAACCAAAATAATATCAAATGCTGGGGGTTGACTCTTTAAGTTACTGAAACATTGTATTTCCAGAAATAACTTTCATTAACAAAATCTGTTTAATACAGGGTTTGGACTTATATACATGGGTTCATCAATGTTACTTCAGTTTTACCAGGCTTCTACTGTAAACCGTAACCTTTCGCCTCCACTGGTAGAATGTTATTACTATATAGTATGGTGTGTACTTACTTTGACTGTTATGATAAATTCGCCCTCAATACTGAGGGCAAAAATAGGCAAAAATTAAACTGTCAGGCAATTTCCCTGTATACAGTATATTAAGAAAGGGTTTCATCAATTATAACATCTGTTTTTCCAGGGCGGGGCTTACTACGTCAATTATTACATTTGTTTTCCCAGGGCGGGGCTTACTATGTCAATTATTACATCTGTTTTTCTAGGGCGGGGCTTACTACATCAATTATTACATCTGTTTTTCCAAGGCGGGGCTTACTACGTCAATTATTACATCTGTTTACCAGGGTGGGGCTTACTACATCCATTATTACATCTGTTTTTCCAGGGCGGGGCTTACTACATCAATTATTACATCTGTTTTACCAGGGCAGGGCTTACTACATAAATTATTACATCTGTTTTTCCAGGGCGGGGCTTACTACATCAATTATTACATTTGTTTTACCAGGGCAGGGCTTACTACATCAATTATTACATTTGTTTTTCCAGGGTGGGGCTTACTATATCAATTATTACATTTGTTTTACCAGGGCGGGGCTTTCTACATCAATTATTACATCTGTTTTACCAGGGCGGGGCTTACTACATCAATTATTACATCTGTTTTTCCAAGGTGGGGCTTACTACAGAGCTTGGAATTATAAATGGTTACTTACAGTCAGTATAATATTCTGTTAGACTTAAATCAAAATGTGACTTGTGTCTATTTGTTTGGAGTGAGAAACATGTTATACAGCTTAGGAACAGTCAATAGAACACTTGACTGGTGAGGTTTATACCTGACTTCAATGCATGCAATTTAAAGTTATTTTATTGATAATATTGACTTGCTCAGTCTACGTCCCTACAACAAATACACATCAATACCCCTAATGGTCAAATCACAACCACTTAATGCGGTATGTTGAATATTCTTTTACATTGTACATAACATTTTTCAAATATTTATAAACATCATAGCTAGACAAGAAATGCTTTTATAACATCTTAACTCCTCAAGAATTGAACAAAGCCTCAACCAAGATTCAACAATGATCAGAAAACGATCAAATAAAATTAAGTGGACAAATGTGTAGTCTACAACCATTTTAAAAACAGCATGAAATTTTAATCTTTAAAATGCTTCTACTAGGAGATTAGGGTGGGCTTTAACTGTGTGCAGTTGTAATCCAAACCATCAATATTAAGGTTTTATCAACATTAGGGTAGACCAAGGTATGGACGGTAGTAGAGCTGTAAAGGTTATCAATGTGTCACAGCTACACCTACGGAACTGATGTCTCTCATCCGCCCTGGACCAGTACAAAGGTCACAGACAAGGGCCCTCCTTCCTCATACCACCACACAACAGTACAACGGCCACAGACAAGGGGCCTCCTTCCTCATACCACCCCACACCTGTACAACGGTCACAGACAAGGGCCCTCCTTCCTCACACCACCCCACACCAGTACAATGGTCACAGACACGGGTCCTTCCTTCTCATACCACCCCACACCAGTACAACGGCCACAGACAAGGGCCCTCCTTCCTCATACCACCACACAACAGTACAACGGCCACAGACAAGGGCCCTCCTTCCTCATACCCCCCCACACCTGTACAAGGGTCACAGACAAGGGGCCTCCTTCCTCATACCACCCCACACCAGTACAAAGGACACAGACAAGGGCCCTCCTTCCTCATACCGCCCCACAACAGTACAACGGCCACAGACAAGGGCCCTCCTTCCTCATACCGCCCCACAACAGTACAACGGCCACAGACAAGGGCCCTCCTTCCTCATACCCCCCCACACCTGTACAAGGGTCACAGACAAGGGGCCTCCTTCCTCATACCACCCCACACCAGTACAAGAGTCACAGACAAGGGTCCTTCTTCCTCATACCACCCCACCCCAGTACAATGGTAACAGACAAGGGCCCTCCTTCCTCATACCACCCCACACCTGTACAAGGGTCACAGACAAGGGTCCTCCCTCCTCATACCACCCCACACCAGTACAATGGTCACAGACAAGGGTCCTCCTTCCTCATACCACCCCACACCAGTACAAAGGTCACAGACAAGGGCCCTTCTTCCTCATAACAACCCACCCCAGTACAATGGTCACAGACAAGGGCCCTCCTTCCTCATACCACCCCACACCAGTACAACGGTCACAGACAAGGAACCGCCTTCCTCATACCAGACCAGACCAGTTCAACTGTCAAATACATGCCCCATCCCCCTTCATACCATCCCACACCAGTACATCTTTCACACACCAGGGCTACCACATACTACCCCAGACCAGGGTTGTAGTCACACACAAGCCCCCCCCCCCACCTCCAACCCTACTCATACCATCCCACAACAGTATGAGTACTACAGTCACACATGAAGCACAATAAGATGGACCTATTGCTGTGAAAAAGGACCATATTGTATATTGAAAAGAATGAAGACAATAGCCAGCTCTCTCTAGCTGTTGACAATAATCTGCTAGAAGTATTGAGGTATGTAACTCAGAATGCCACCATCCTATCTGTGACCGGGGATCAGCTAGACCACTGGTCCACCATCATACGGAGGGGTACTGGGGTACCAGGTCAAGATGATGACATAAGCCACTTGACCTGAGGGAGAAGGAGTCAAGTGGTCCCAAACACACACACAGAATCAGGTGAGCAGTAGGCCATTGTGTCCCACCGTAGGTATCACTGCACAGGGGTATTTACTCTTCCTTCAGAACAAAACAAAGTAAACTTCTCTCAAGTATCCCTGTCAATATCTCAATAGCATCCATGTCGCCGGCCCCGAGCCTCGACTGGCGACATCGTCACTCTGTCTGTAGCCTTGTTGAGTACAAGTGGGTAGATTTGATTGGAAAAGGTGTCGACCAACAAACACGCCGCCATCGTCACTCCAATTTCTTTGAGAGATCAGCATTTCAATTAAATGTCTGGATATCCTTACCTTATCAAGGTCATTTCCTTTCATTCTATGTCACGTTGACTTTGTCAGGGTCAGATATTTTATTCTTCATCAAAGTAGTGAAGACCATGTCAATAATGTGAAGGGATCTACACTCAGTGACAGTTTACTGACCAATGGTTATTTTATTTAAGAACTGAGACAAAAGTACCTATGGAACTTAAGTATTGAAGCGAATTTACAAGACAAAGCATTGCAAGCACAAATGTACTTAAGTACCCAGTACACACATGGCCCCCTGTACCCTCACAGCATCAAATGCTGCCTTTATCACTATAACTATCTTAAAATCATCAGCTGATTTTACATATAAGATTTCAAGGAAGATATTCTGAAGGTGTCTTTCTACTGTTAATTGAATTCATAGGCATCAACCAGGTGAGATATTCTAAGGTAAGGTTTCGATTGTCATCTACAAAATTACACAATTTCTTGACTGCCAATTCAGGCAATCACTGATCAAGTTGCATAGGAAATGCCATGTAGTCAATATTGTATGTGATATGTGAAAGAGGAGACATTTCTTTCACACAAGTAAAGAAAACGTAAAATGGTAGGAGACACGAGTCTATAGCTTGAGGCTTCAACATGTCACAGAGCACAGACAGATACAC